TAGTTTCTATAACCATACAGTTATACTAGCTAAAAGTTCCTATTCTTATTTATACAGAACACATTCTTGTGATGTGCTCAGGTTTTATTTGAAATACTTTACATTATTAATGGAGAATATTGCTTTTAAATTGAAAGCGTCAGGAGAGGGAGTGTATTACTTAATTTTTAGTTAATGTGTTAAAACTCAAATCCAAAAGCAACTTATACAAATGAGAGATTTTTTTCATTTATGGTTTTAGAAGGATAAAAGTCCATCAGTGTCGGGAAACATGAAAACAAGTCACAGGCATGGTAGCATGAGTTAGAACCTGAGACTTTACATCTTCAAGTGTAATCATGAAGCAGAGAAAGTGTATTAAGACCAGGCTATAAGCTCTCAAAACTTTCCTCCAGCAAGGCCACACCTCCTTAACAAACAAACACAGCACCACCAAGGGGAACCAACTGTTCCCTATGCAGACCTATGAAGGGGGCATATCTCCTTAAAAGTATCACATGGAGAGTCAATTTTCTTTAGGTATGTGAACCCTGAGATACTATCCACACTCAAGTAAATGGTCATTTACTGTGCATATGCAGGCTTCACTAAGAGGATACAGTAGGTACTAAGTTAGAGAAGGAGAGAAAAAGAAAGAGCACAAATTGTAGAGGAATTTTAATTCAGCAACGTAACTTCTCTGGCAGTCAAAAGACCTAGGTCTGTGTAATCTGGCTGGAATACAGACATTCCCTTACTACACACCTTTAAGGTAAAATTAGCTTGTAGAGGAAACAGCCATATTTGAAAGTGAAAACTAATTGAGGGACAAACAAAGTGACTAATGAGAGAAAGATTTGGCAGAATAAGTCAGAGATAGGATATGCTCAACTCTTACAAGACCAGAACAGGAAAGAGAAGAAAAAAAATACAGAAAAGAGAAGTTATTTAAAGACAGCTCAGGGAGAAAGGGTCAGTCAGTTGGGAGTTAGCACAGTGAGTACAGTGCAGTGGAGTTGAGTTTGTTAATGAGTTCATGCAGTTCAGTGCACATCATCAGAGGAAGTGGAAGTCAGACAAAAAGAAGGACCCAAAAGTTTACAACAAATTGCCAGAGTTAGTTTGAGGCCAAGCATAGCAATTCAGTCAGAAGCTGAGAGAAGCCAGTTTGAATCAGTCAGCTTGGAGAGGAGTTTTAGCCAGAATAGCTGAGCTGAGACAGCCAGACAGAGTTCATACACATATACATACACATACACACACACACACACACAACACACACACACACACACACACAAAACTAGAAAGAGAGAGCTTATTTGGCACTAAGCCTTTGAGATAACAATTGCATCTGGAGAATGAACAATACATTTACAACAAATTGGGAGTGTAAAATAATTAGAAAAGGATGAGGTTGGCAAGGAAGCATGGGGTGATGAGTTGGGTCTAAACATTTTATAAAATAAAACAGACATTTTTTGTCAGCAATCATGTGGTAGTAATACCCAACATGTCCATCCTTCTGTATGTGTGAAGTGACTCCCAAATTTCCTATACCAGAAAGACAGAAAACTGTTGGTGCTATGAATGTTGAAAATATTGGAAACTTGCTTCTTCAAGATTTCTTTTCCACATGTGGCAATATGACTTAGGAAATAGCTCACCTGATTATGAATCAGAACAAAGTGATTGATATATATTCTCTCTCTCTCTCTCTCTCTCTCTGTCTCTCTCTCTCAATTTTGTGTGTGTGTGTGCGTGTCTGTTTGTGTCTGTGTGTGTGTGTGTATGTGTGTGTATGTTTGATGAATTGGGATGTATATGCATGTTTGTATGTGTGTCAACACACTTACGTTTGCAGGTGCACACACATGTATTCATTTGTGTACATACATTTGGAGACTCAAGTATAATGTACCTATAGTGTTCCAATTTCTTGAAGTAGGATCATTTAAACACAAAGCTTTCTAGTAGCTAGGCTTACTACACAGATTTCTACCAGGATTTACTGTCCCTGCATTCCCAAGATTGGAATTGCATATAGGTTACACCACCTACTACACATTTATGTGGATTCTGGTGATATAAACTCTGGGATATTTTGCTTGTATAATACTTTATCAACTGAGTCATCTCTCCAGCCTAATTTTTAAAAGATAATTATAATTTATAAGAAATATAATTAATTTTAAATATATGTTAATATAATTTTTTAAATTATATTTTTTTAAAATTAGAGTGGTTACTTTCTGCAGTTGAAAAGCAGGACATATTTTAGGAATGACATCTCTGGTGATGCTGCTACCCTTGACTCATGACAGTACCGTCCCAGAACTCATCTGCTCGCCTTTGTAACTAACACACATCTACTTCTAGGAAAGCAGCACAGATGTCATGAAGCCATTGATTTCCATTGCGTCTTTCAGTTAACTCAGCGAATCTTAGATTCTCAAATTTTGCTCTTTTAAGAGTTGTTAGTTTGTTTTTTAAATATCTGTAGATTATTAGTTACTGAATTTGTAAAGTATTTTCTTAAAGGATGATTTTGAATTTCTAAGATATAGTATTTTTATCTCTTCTTTAATGGAGAAGTCTGTGACAAAACTTTACATTCTTTCCTTCTGTCTCAGATTTTTCTTTATTACTATCTAGCAGCATTAATTAAAATTCTGATTTTCTACTTTTTGTAAGTAGTGAGTTGTCTTAACTAAGATTTCCAATGCTGTGATAAAACACTGTGACCTACAGCAACTTGTAGGAGAAAGGGTTTATTTCATCTTATATTTCCAGGTAACAGTCAGTGACTTAGGGAACTCAGAGCTAGAACTGAAGCAGGGCAGAAACCTGATAGGAATTGAAGAGTTAGCCATGAAGAAACACTCCTTACTGCTTGCTACTCTTGGCCTGCTCAGTCCGCTTTCATTAACAACCCAGAACCACCTTCCCAGGCATGGCACCGATCATAATGGGCCCCCAACAACCACCAATTAAGGAAATATCTCACAGGCTTGACTCCAGGACAATCTATAGAAGCATAGCATTTCCTCTATTGCGTTTCCTTTCTCTCACATAAACTTAGATTGTTTTAAGTTGACAATAAACAACAAATGAAAATAATAACAACACACAGGCATCGTCTTAGCGGCTTGTTCTCTACAGAGGTCCTCTGAGCTATTTTGAAGGAATGTCTAAATGACAATGTTTTCATTCCTTGCTGCTATAATGTGTAGTGTCCTTTCACTATGATAACTGGACTCTCATTTATAGCTTCAGATTTCCTTCCACTGGAACTTTCTACTTCCCTTTTGTTATGGCATTTTGTTGTCCTTGAGATCAGTTTGCTATTCTAGTTACATGCTTATCTCTGACTTCTCTCGAACTCTTCCAAGACAATGCTTTCCCTAATGTTCCACTCCAGTTATTCTGTTTATTGTCTTTACTTCCACTTCCATATTTTGGACATTTCTTTTTTCTTTTACCTTGTCTTTTCTCAATGCGGTGTAACTTGATCGTCTTGAATTCCTTTGTGTATTAACTAGGGGAGGACAGATTGTGTCCTTTGAATTATCTCTTCTATGTGCTTTTTTATCAAATCTGAAGTTTTAAGTTCTGCTCTTTCTCGGAAGTTTAGCTATGCTGGAACATTACTCATTAAAATCAATGGAAATATAAGTGGATGATTATTCCTCCATGATATTTGTGTCCCTACAATGCTACATTCCTGAAAGAGAGATTATACTTTGCATTTCTGCATATCTATGAGTCAGCCAGCAAACTTTAAACATCAAGCAAAGGGATATACCAAGGTTTTCTAAATAAGCTATGTTTCCTAGATTTTAATTCTATGAAAGATTTACATTGGAGGATTTAGATTCTGAATCTTGTTCTTTCTAGAAAGTTGGCTGAATTTTTTCACATTCTATTTCTCAGGCTTTACTGGCATTTTAAATAACCATACTTAGACCTGGATAAGGTTTCAGGGACCAGGAGTCACTTATGAATCTGTTTTTATTAATCATCTTATTTCTTGCATCCCAAATCAGTTCTCTTGCCACTTCTGCTCTCATTATGGAGTAACTGTATGGCTCTGCCAGCAAAACACCTTCTACATTTGTCATAGACTTCTCTGACTATTTCTGTTTTTTTTTTTTCCTGTTACACTTATCCGTGTCAGCCCAATTTTCTTTTTTTTCTAGAAATTTGACTTTTATTGCAAAAAAGAAAACTCTAGTACCAAGCTCTTGTGAAGCAGACACACTCCTGAAAACTTTATATATCTTAGTTTTGTTTTTATTTATTTTTTTTCTCAAATCGTAATTCATTCACACAGGGGTTATAAACACAGAAAGGCAGGATGTGGGGAAGGGAATGACACTGGAGCACTGGAGTGTGGGTGTTCAGGGGGAATACAGATATCATCAGAACCAGGTATCTGCTGGGTGAAGATTCAGGGGACAAGTCACTATGACTCTGCCTATGACTCACTTGTCCTTATCTAAGTTGGTATTGTCTGCCCAGGCTACCTATTTACAAGGTCTATGACTACTCAGGCTTGTAAATTTCCACAAAAGCTGCCTGTTTACATTAGCTTATAGCCATCTGTTTCAATGTTTTTCCACTGAGACCCAAGACTTGGTGTTAGTATACATGTATGACAGGCCTATTGCTGATTTTAGGCCTATCAGCCCAATTTTCAAAACATCTAGAAATGTAGACAGGTATTACATGTCCTGGTACCACCCTTCCTGTTCCATTACAATAGCTCTTTTCAGATTTTATTATAATCTTGACACTTTTTGTGAAAAAAAAAAGGCTATTAACAAAAGAATATTAACAAAACTCAAGCTTCTAGGGTAATCAGTATTTTTGACAACAAGATTCCTAGTGTGCAGGTTAAAAAAAAAAAGTGTGAGTGAGGTCTGGTGGTCTATTATAAGAGAGGAATCTAGCTGGAGTTGAGGGAACCCAATTCTTTCTTCCTTTTTCTTCTTTCCTTCATTTCATTTCATCTTTCTTTCTTCCAGGATAAAATTTGAATGTAGCCACCTACTACCTCAGATTATGCAGCTGAGTTTTCCACATTTGGAAAAACCACAGGGTTCTGCACACCCAGAATTCTATGGAGAGACTGGCCGAGGAAAAATGTTTTACTTGATCATAGTATCTTCCCTGCCAGGTCAGTAGCTCCAAATACATTTTACTGGGAATAGGAATCAATAACCATTCCTCAAAGGAAGGTGGTTATCTTTCTCACTCTGGCAATAATAAAAACTACTCACGGCTCTTGAGGGGAACACTATTTTTCTCCCAAGGCTGTCCACCAAACTAGCACATTTTAAGGTAATCCAATACTCAGGCACCCATATCTGTTTCCAGATAACAAAGAAACATGGGATCCCAAGACCCACGCTGCCCAGTAGAATTATGAGATGAATATTAACACAGATTTCTGTGAAGATAATACATCTACATTTTCCTGAAACACAAAGACCTGGTTTGGTACCAGTATAAACTGTCTATTTGGGCTTTGGTTCTAGGAACGACACTATTAGTTTCATTGTAGATTATTACTTGTACAAAAAAAAAATAAGACTCAAATGTCAAAATTTCAAGAAATAAAGAATAAGGTCCATTTGCACCCCCGTTTGGTGATCCATCACTTTGACATCTAACTACATTACTAAACAGTCTCTTCATTGAATCGTTGACAAATTTGGGAGAGATTTCAACGACAGTCTAGAAGTCCTTTTCTTCTTTAACTTATTTTAATGCATTGCATTTGGCTTTGAATTGTAATTATCTTGTGTGAATGTCTTTTATTATCTTATTTCACAACTTCTTATGAGTTATCTTCAATGTCATACAAACTTTAAAAATATTTTAATCAATGTTAAATGTATCTCAAAGCACTTAACTATGCTATAACAAAAGAATTTTTAAAGCTTTTAAAACTTATACTGACAAGCAAAATATATTCGCTTTCAACATTTATCCCAGCCTATTATAATCAACATTAGAACATTTCATTTGTTTAATCATCATTGTGCTACCTTAGCATAAATCTAAATAGGCATCTGTATTGAAATCTTATTCCTCCTCATGTACATTTTGTTGGGAATCCAAGTGTGGATCATTTGAAATTGTCTCAAGATTTTATGTAATTTAAAACAGTGGACTGTAAAAATTAAATATATTATGCTGCATGATATAGGCTTGGATTTTTCAAACATACATTTAGTAATAGTTCTGAAGTGCTTTAACATTCCTTCTAGCCCACCACCTACCAGAGATAGTGGGAAAAAAGTGTTAATAAAGCAAAGGAGGATGTAGACCTGTTTTTTTTCTGAGCAAATCAAATCTGAGTTGTGAGGATATCAGTAGTTCAGCTCACAGGAATAATCAGTGGGAGCTTAATCCACTCACAAACACCCTTCAGGAATTAGCAATGACAGGTTGATCTAGAGAAAACCACAAGGTTCTGCCAATTGACCCAAGTCTGCAGAAGTGGCAAGAAGCTGCCAGAATATTACCAGAAATTTTTTGGTGCATTTCCTTCTATGAAGTCATGACAAACTAAGACCAATAAAGAATGGTACGGAATACCAATACCATACAGTGTCATCAGCAAAGAGCAGTGTCAGCTAAACCCAATGATGACCAGCAAAGAATGGCAAGGTGTACCAATACCATACAGCATTGTCCATTGTCCATTGAGTTATACATGTATCTTTTCCAAACATCACATGCTTTCTCAAGCATCTGTTCAACTAAAACATCACACGTCCTTGTTTCAGGTTGCCTCCAGAAAAAACATCACATGTCTGTTCTTAGCAAAACAACCTCCTACATGTCATCTTCAGCAAAAACATCTGCTCATAATACAGTTTCCAGAAAAACATGACATGAGACAACTGAGTCTCCAGAGAAACCAAAAATTTCTACCGTAGCATGGACTCAATATAATTGATATAGCTTTTGGATAATAGCACATGGCAAAGAATCATATATTTAGAGAGCTGTTAAAGATATATGTCATTTAGTGATTCAGTTAATGATAATACACAGAAATCCAATAATTACAACATTCAGGAGTCAGGCTATGAAAATGACTCAAGAGAATTGTCTCAATAGCAGAGCATTTGTGAGATCCAATCCGAAAAAAAAAAAACCTAATATATTTTTAAGACATTGAAACATAAAAATCACAGTTTCATGTTTTAATCTACTACTCTGTTGATGTTGGTGGCCTCTCTACTTATTTGATTTATAGGTACTTACCAGCAGTTGTGGTTGTACTCCCACTAAGGAGCACAGTTTAAAATCGAGATGCAACACTTAGTGCCAATCTTAAGCCATTTATATGCACACACACAGTATTAGAACAAGTTCTGGAAGGGGGGGAATAAAATTAAGGTTGTAGTCCTCAGGCAATAATCTCAACATTTTTAATAGATGTTAATAACACTACTTTAGGGAATTTTTAAAAGAGTTTTCCTTTTTTGTTTATTTTTGTTTGTCATTTTCTTTTCTCTGATTACATGGATTTCCTAAAATTGCTACACTAAACCAACTGTAGTTCTGACAATTGGAAAACAAACCTGCTTTCCTTTGGAAGAGAAAATGACTGAAGAGTACAGTCCATTGTTAACTTCCTCAATGTCTTCATGTCCCTTTGTCTTACAGAGCAGCACAGTGAACAATCTGCATAATTATGCAGCAAACAAGGTCTGCACTGCATTAGGAAGTTGTCTTGATCAAGAGTGTTTTCCCTTTTCTAGCTAGTTATGACTTCTCAGTAGAATAAATAGAGTATATATCACCCAAGAGCATATTTTCAAGAACATATCCAGTCCACATACTATTATTCAAGCCAAATATTTAATGTATAAAAGTATATTAAATAACCATCAGTACCACAGTAGTAAGTTAAATGCTAAAATAATTTGCACGTGCACATGTATGTAACATAGCCATCCATAACTATGTTACCCTAGTATTTAAAATGCATAGTCTATGACTAGGCAAGAAGGGCTTAGCTGCACTTTAGAGACAGTATTAGATAAAACACCTTTACGGCTTTGCTGAGGACACAGTTAATTGATTAGATGAGATCCATTAATTCAAAATTTGTGATCAATTTAATGAGCAAGTCTCTGAATGAAATTAAGTAGAAATATTGAAGAGAAATACATCAAATCATTTTAACAAGGAAAGGCTCACAATAATCTTCCTAGAATTAGGAGAAATAGAGCTCTTTGAGAGAGAGAGAGAGAGAGAGAGAGAGAGAGAGAGAGAGAGAGAGAGAGAGAGAGAGATTCTTGAAGTCCACATCCTTGAGGGCATAGCCACAATTTATTATAGTGCTAACATATTATAAGACAAAAAAACAATTAAACAAGTATATATCACTTAATCACTTAAAAGTCAACAATGTGGTTTTAAGAAATATTTTTAAATGGAAGGATCTGAGCCACAGGAAGCCCCATAAAACTTTAAAGAAAGGCTTGGATGGTGGGTCCTGAATGGGAAAGGGAGTTTCTAATTTCAGAAGACTTAATGTGTGTTGCAAATTAATTCTTACATTTTTATTAAAAGTTATAGATCATTCAGAAGGTAGAAACACCCTCTTCCTGGTGTCAGTGTTAATTTATTTTCTTAATGATGCTTAATAGTCCAATAACTCACACAGCTAAATGAGCCCTACAACTTTAATAGCTTAAAAATGAGATTATGCTATTCCAAGCCCACACTAAATATCCAAAAGGAAAACCAAAATTGCATGATCTTAATTATTTAATTTTATAACTATATTGTTACAATACACATTCACAACAAACAAAACTGTTTCTCTAGGGAATTTCTCCTGTTTTCATTTATTTTAAGACCTGGTATTATGCACCTGAAGGTGTTTCCATGAGTAAATGAGATTTTTATTATAAACAGCAACCATTCAGAATGCTAGGTAAATAGCTTTGCAATCACAATAGAGAAAACCGATTTCAAACATATTCAAGCAGGGGAGTCTAGTTCTTAAGTCTTGGAGATGATTACAATGTGCCTTGTATGAAAGTAATGTTCATAAAGAGTAAGACTTCTGGGCTCTTTACTGCAGTTGTCTATCATGAGGCCCTGAAATCCTGATAAAACAAAGAACAACCAAGAAAGCCAAAACCACTCCTGCCCTTGAGTCTTTAAGCCAAGAAGCCATTTCCCGGTGGATTTTCTTATTCTTTGTAATCTGATGAGACTCAAAACACTTGATGAAAGGGCCCTATAGTAGTAAATATTTTAGGCTCTAGATCTTTGAAATCCTGTTATTCATCTCTACCCTTTCATTGTGAAAGTAATTCCAGGCATATCATAAATAACCTGTCAAAGCTGTATGCATGCTAATCTTCACATAGAACACTAATTCATAAGGATATTCACCAATGTTTTTCTCTATAACATTTGTAGTATAAAATTTTATTTTTAATAAGGTTTTATTTTAAATTTCAGCTTCCTATCTTTATTTCAGATTGCAGAAGTGCCTACCCTTAAGTCACCACATGATTTTTGCAAATGGACTAAAAACGTAGTTCACTTAAATAATTGCAAAATTATACTAAAATTGATAAGAAAATGATTACAGCCATTCCTGGCGTGTGGAGCTCCAGAATTGGAAATTCTGTTTGTTTGTTTTTTTAATTTTACTGACAAATATATATTTTATATAATATATTCTGATCATGGTTTCTCCTTCCCCAAGACCTCCCAGATCTTCCTTATCTGCCATCCATTCAAGTACACACTTTTTTTCTCTGTCTCATTAGAAAATAAACAGGCAGCAAACCAAAAATAAAACAAACAGATGAACCAAGAAAAAAACAGAATAAGACAATAACAAACAAATGGAGGTTGGACAAAGAAAAAGCAAAAAAACACAGACTTAATTACATGTAGCCCGGTGTGCACAAAATTCCCTTGGAAACACAAAATCAGGAAACGTGTTATATAAACAAAATACAAGAAATTTTTTTAAAAAAAATAGTTTTATGAGACAAAAGCCTCCAAAAATTCACTTGAGTTCAGTTTGCGAACTATTACTCTGGGCTTGGGGCTTGCACTTGAGTGTGGTTTGTGAGACTCCTTTGCAGAAACCAAATTTATCCTCTGTGAGCAGTTGTCTAACTCAAACTGTGTCT